TAATATCACTGCATTAAGATCTGGAACACATGCCAAAACATTATGTGAGACCCTGAAGCACAAAACCAGTCTTAAGTCGCGTGGGTATATTTTTAGCAATAGCCAAAAAAAAAAACATTGTATGGGTCAAAATTATCAATTTTTCTTTTATGCCAAAAATCATTAGGATATTAAGTAAAGATCATGTTCCATGAAGATATTTTGTAAATTTCCTACCGTAAATATATCAAAACATAATTTTTGATTAGTAATATGCATTGCTAAGAACTTCATTTGAACAACTTTAAAGGTGATTTTCTCAGTATTTAGATTTTTTTGCACTTTTTGATTTTTTCTTGATTCCAGATTTTCAAATAGCTGTATCTCGGCCAAATATTGTCTGATCCTAACAACCCATACATCAATGGAACGTTTATTTATTCAGCTTTCAGATTATGTATAAATCTCCATTTAAAAAAATTGACCCTTATAACTGGTTTTGCGGTCCATGGTCACATATAATAACTGGAGGCTTTAATGCAGGGAGTGTGCAGCATGCTATTTCTTTCATTTCAATTTATTGAAAACTGGATATTCAGCAACGCATTTGTCAGGTTCTATAAAAGTAAAACAATAAGTCATAGCATTCATCAGGGTTAATCTGACAATTTGTTTACATAAAGTTGCTTTAGTAAAATAAAAATTATATTCTTAAACATTTTTTACATATAATACTTAACCAGTCATTAATGTATATCAGAAATATCATGTATATTTACATTTGAATTTTTTTTAAGAATTACATGTTTGTTATTGAATAATATTATATTGTGTAATAACAATGTGTTACTGGTCACATCTTTAGCACTTTCTTCTTCTTTGCAGACTGACCTAAAGTTACTCATGGCCATTACTCTATTCTTTGTCTGTCTACAAAATATGAAATATCAAGCAATGATAATATGATTTTGTCTAACAATATGAGTGGGTGTGTCAGTCTGTTCCATCAGGTCATCATGCTTCCTGTCTCAATCATCTTTTGAGAGACAGAAGCCCTTTGAACTGTTCCTACTGGATCAGTCTATGTTCTCTGGCTTTCTGTGCTTCTGTCTCCGGCTGCAGGCCGGGCTAAGGAGGTCTTTCTGTGGGCTCGCAGGGCAGCAGATCCCACAGAGGAAACAGTGCCTCATTGTTCCTGTAAAGCTCTTTCATATGTGCTTAGCAGCTTACTGAGCAACAGTGTGTGTGTGTTCACCATCAGGCCATCAAGAACAGAAAGATATGTGTGTACATGTGCATGTGTGGGAGAAAGCAGGAAATAAATATGTTGTTTCACTCTTAAAAATAAAGGTTCTTCAATGTATTTTTGCAGCATCCTTAGAACCCTCTTAATTTCTCGCTAAATAGGGGTTAGTAACTATTTTAGTGCAACAAAGAAAACCTTCAAGATTAAGAAAAAAAACATAGCAAACCAAGTTGTAATATTTTGAGGAAAAAAAGCAAAAATTATGAAAAGAATGTAAGAAAAAAAGTTATAGCAAAATGAGACTGAAGTTATAAAAGTAACAAAAATCTAAGATTCCAAGGATACATTTTTAGCAATACAAGATGCAAGTCATAATACTTTGAAGGAAAGGTCAAAAACTATGTTAACAAAGTTGTAACAATAAAGTTATATTTTAGTAATATAATAGTAATAAGCAATATTTTGTGAATAATGTAAGTAATATTTAGCAAATTGTATATAATACAAATCTCATATTGCTACAATATTGTGATTTTGACGATTTGATTTTGACTTCTTACTCAAAATATTATGACAATATTACTACAACTTTATTCTTTATTTTAATTTTCTTTTTTTCTAAAATGCTTCACGTAATTATTTGGTTCTTTTCAATTTGCATCGGCCTATCCAAATTTTAAACAGTTGTATATATCCTTCTTAAAAAGTGTGAAGTGAAAATTAGTGCTAATGTGCCAACAGGTCATGTAATTTATAGTAAATCAAATGTGACACTGATGTTTCATTTACATCCATGAATCACAAAAAGTCTGTGATTCTTGCGTCATATCCGCAGATCAACGATTTGATTCCCACCCTTTAAAAATTATATTTTTAAACACCAAGTCATCCAAACAATTTCCACCCTCCAGATCATCTTTGATGATAATAGCTCCAATTTCTTCAATCTCTGCTTCACACGCAAGGAGAGAGAAATAATAAAGACTTGATATTGAACAAGTCATATCATCATTGCTTGATATTAAATATTGATAAATGATTTGGTTACAAATGTAAACTGAGTAGAAGTTGCGCGTTTTAGCTAATGTAGATCTTGACTTCACTCATTCAACAATGGAAACCACCACCTGATCTGATATCATCTGAAAACAAACAGTTTTCACAAACAATCCTAAAACTGAGAAAGTGATATCGGCGCATGAGGTCTTGGAAGTTAATTATCCCATATTTTTGATGGCTGGCTTCCTGTTAACTTTGAAGGAAACATTCCTTAGCTAACAGGTCGTCAAAAAAATTGGCCAAAGCTGTAAAACCTGCACAACTGAACTGAAAGCTCAAGGCACGCAAAACTAGCCAGTTGAATGATGAAATAGTATTTTCATCATTTCATATATGGCTGAATAATGGACATCAGGAAAGTATTATTTAGGCCTATATCAAACTAAATGTAGTGTCTACCCTGATTATACTATGTCTGTAGATGATGAGATCTCTATTGATAATTATAGCATCATAATTTCAATATATTCTATTAAATGAGTAACCTGGATGATAAACCAAACCCATCTGTGGTGTTCTGACTGAAGAATTAAACTTGTGCACAGATCTGGGAACCTTCTATTATTGAGAGAGATCAGAGATCCCAGGTTCTGTTCGGACGCTAGACATGTACAGACCCAGGCGTTTGATAAACATGATGCTGGAAACTCAACACCACCTGAAGAGGGCAAGTTGAGGTCCACATTCACTCATTCTGAGGGAGAGAAAGGAGGAGGATTTACTGAAGCTATGACCACCTCAGACCTTGATGCAGACACCCAAACACACAGGTGTGATGAAGACCCTGTCGACAGCTAGATTTAGTTGTTTTAATGGTGTAAACAGAAAAACTTCACATGGCTGTACAGATTTACTTCAGCTGCTGATGCATGCTTACAGATGGCCACACATCAAACAGGCAGACAGTTCTAAGAGCATCCTAAAATATTATAAAGAGCCAGTGTATATGCAGTTCATCTGATTGAAACATTTCATGGCAATGTTATTCCCCTGAGGATATGTTGTGTCATCTCCGGTCAAGTTCTGTTATAGGCCTCTCTAATTGGAGAGTGAATCTCACGAATGTCTGAATCATATTTTGCTCCAAAAAATTTTTTTCTTTTTTTTTACTGTCACTTTATTTCTTCAACCAAATTCCACCCCCCATTATTATCCAGGTGAGTTTGATTTTCACAGTGATGTTGCCATACAATTTATATAAACACATTAATTTATTAAAATAACAATTTTTCACTTTTTTAGTAATTCAAATATTAATTAGCAATGGAAAAAATAGTACAAATAAAAGTAAATCATACCTATCTGTTATTTATTTATTATAATATAATCAGTTGAAACAATATGTACTTTTTTCTGCATTACATTAATTAAAATTTAGTGGTAAAATGTGTTTAATTTTCATTTAAAAAATCCTAGTGCAAAAATAGGCTTGTGCAAAATACAATTTACATACATTCTTGGACAGGCTGAGGGATTCATAGTATTTGATTATGATGACTATGTTCAACTGTGCTGGAGCACTGCTAAAGTATAGTTGTTTTGGACTGTGTTTGTGCTGTTTGCTTTGATTTGTTGTCTGTGTTAGGTAATGCTATGAGGTGTTTGATCTTCACAAAGAGTTGCTAGACCCCAAGATGATGCAAACCACTGAGCTACTGAGTATAGGGAGGACAGAGAGAGTGAGACGGATAGTTTCTCAGCAGGCTGACAGAGGTAGCTGTGTGGTGACAGCACACTCAAGGCTGAAGGTAATCACAGTGTAAAATATGCTAACCGAATGAGACACTTCAGATGTGTCACACCATATCTTTCATCAGAGTCGTGGGTGCTGTAATACAGCCGTATTGTGTGACGAAGAGCTTTCATAACTGCTAGATGATGCCTCAGGTCAAAATAAAGCCAGGGAACGATTCTGCCTTTGCTGGCAAAGTGAAATTTGTCATTTGTTCCTCACTTGATACTGTAATTTCAACTGCATATGTTGAAACATCACCAGCTAATTTTCTCCTTGTAATTGTGATGTTTTAATTGAGGATGTGTCTACAGGGGCCCCTTGCACAGTTGGAAATGCAGAGATTGTCAGATCTTTATCGGAAATTTTGGCTGTAGAGTTTCCTGTGTTTTATGAACAGCTCTGTCTTAAAGTTGCACACGCCTATAGGGTCTGATGTATAAAGAAATTGCCTGTCATTCCCTTCAATCAAGAATCAAATGCGGTCAACTACCTATACAGGTCATTGAGAGTGCACTTATATTTGCTAAACTTCATGGCGTGAGTTAAATAATGCAACAAAAGTACTGTTTTTGCTTTCCGCTTAATTCTAATCACTCTCAACTAGCACATAAAATACATCAGGAAGTGTAAATGTTTATAAAACAAAGATTATCACTTCCACTGACACATTTATCTCTGATGCAAATCCAAGTATGCAATGTAATATGTATATTTACTTAACTCTGTATATTTACTTAACTTCATATCCTTACATGACGTTCCTGTCCTATTTTAAAGACTCTACACATACAAAACTCCTTAAGCTGAATAGTATTGGATATCTCAAAGGGTTCAGGGTTGCCCTAAGATCATCTCTGTCTTGAACAAAGCCTTACCCGCCATACCATCATTACCTCATACATTGCCAGTGGCTTTTTACCATAACAGAGCAATCATCTCAAACTCCACACACACATATTAAGGTAAAATGTGAAGCCTTACCTTGACATACTCCATGGTAGGGTCCATGCCTGCACCGTCCCTGCAGGAAAAAGAAAGAACTCTCTTGAGCGAACACATCAACTCTCCTTTAGCTCAGCTGCCTACCAGTTTAACTGTAAGTGTGTGTGTGTGTGTGTGTATGGGTCCTTCTCTGGGCAGGCTGTACGTTGTAAAGTGTCTACCAGTCCAGCCCCGCTCGTCTGAGGTCATTACACCACAGTATAGACCACAACATATGGACACAAACATCCACCATCCCCCCCAACCACACACAATTACTTCCACACCAACCCACATTTGCAAACTTCTGCTGAGATTAATGCAGATATCAGTTTAGTTAATGAGCAAAAATAATAAAAAACCTAAGTAGTCTTTAAGAGAGAGAAAAAAATGAAGGGTTAAACGGTCAGGGATGAGCATGTCAAGTCTTTTAGTGGCTCTCTGTCTCACACAAACACACTCTTGTGACTCTCTCCGGATTTATGCTTGCGTGAAGATTTAAACCCTGAATTCTAAAGGATTATAGCCAGGAAAAGGGAAATTAATTCCTTGAGTCTAAATTTCCCACAGGGCTGAAAACAATGTAAATAAACTTTCAGTGCAACCTTTGGGTAAGAGACAAACTTAGAGCAAATGAAACGCAGAATCTATACAAAATATTAGAAGGAGATGGGACATAGCGATTGTTCACATGGCCTCTCTTCCTGACAGCGGCTTTAAGGTTATGGTCTAGATGTGACTTACCCTAACTGCAGAGATGGCCCTTGGTCAGCACTGCATTTTTTGTTTTATTTAGATTCTCTATGTGGAACGCAGGAACCATGGTGGTGAAGAGAGTCGTGGAGAAGAATGAGTGGTCGAGGTGCATGGCTTAGCTTTTTCTCCATTTAGATTTTTCCTCCCTCTCTCTTTCTGCCTTTACCCAGAGTCCCTTTCATCTCAGCTTACACAAAAACCTGACTTTTCTTTATGACTCTTTCTTTCTTCCTTTTTATACCAGCAGGGTGTGGAGGTGGCACCTGGGGTGAGAGCTCAGATATATAAAAAGCATCAGATATCTGGACATATGAGAATGTATGATAAGATTTTTTTGGATTGTTTGTTTGCTTCGCATTTGATGAACTTAAAAGCATAACTGATTTCCTGTTTAATGTTCCCATTGGACATTCAGTGGAAAGCTACTCTAGAGGCGAGAGGCCACGCTTTAAAGCTTCTGAACACTGACATTAGTACGCTATAAGAGAACACTGTCAGCACTCCCACTGGTCGACCCAAGAGTGACTTGAGTTTGGGACATACCGTCTTATCCGCAAATAGAGGGCATGGAGTGAGGACACGGCCTCAAGAAAAACATTAGTTTCCATCTCTGGCTCTTTCTGAGCCAAGCCACAGCTGTATTGTGTCTCAAAGTGGTGATTTGTACCTCACAGTCATGCCAGTCAGAATTAAAAAGCTGAGGGAGGACATGTCAAGTTGGAGAGATGGACAAGCTATTATTGGGTTTCCAGAAACAGATTCATAATGCTTAAGCCACTGGAGAGAAATGGGACACTTAACACGGAACACTCCCAAAAATCAACCACATGCTGTAGAAAAGAATTCACCTACACATTGAAAGACATAAATCAAAGGCAGTTCACAGCCAAGACGACAGGGCTCTGTGAATCGATACCAGTCAGGTTCACTATGGAGCTTAGGGAGTTTCAATAGGAATTCAGTCTATTGATTTGATTGTTTTGATTAGTGTAAACTATGGTGTGAGTGTTCTAATATGTCTGTGGTTAAGCTGTGTTGCCTCTTAAACGAGTAAACTTTTCACATTGATGCCATGTGACTATACAGCTGCTCTACAAATAAGGGCATCTTCAAACTTTTGTGCCACCTGGAGATGACCTATGACTATACTGTACAAACCTACCTTCCTGTGTGTGTGTGTGTGGGGGGGGGGGTTACTTACCATTTGGGGAAAAATTATTCAAAAACAAGGTAAAAATTAAAGGAAAATTAAGGTTTTAAAAAATTAAGGTACATTTTTTTAATGCTTTTTATGTTTATTTATTAGTTTATTTGATTACTTATTTATTTACTTCAAAATACAAAATTTTCCTCCTTTATGTAGATTTAGGGTGTGGGTTCAATTTGGTCTATGTAGTATAGTTTTATATAATATAAATGGGTGTGTGAGACTAAAGAGAGTGCAAAGGACTGTTTCATGTTACATCAGCAGAACTGTGTGGCAAAAGGAAATCCTTTGGACCACCTGGTAGTCTGAATGGAATGTTTGGGTTCCGTAGAGCTTAGCAACCCTAACAAAGTTACATAACAATAATACTGGACAGCCCAACAAAGACCTGGGTCTACCAGCACATGCAGGGCATTAATATCATTACTGTTATGCATTTCATGTCAACTACATTCATGACCCCATTTTAATTAAATAACTACATGGAATATTTATCCTTTTAATTAATAGTAAAAAGAAAAAAGAAAAGCTCTCACGTGAGTACATTTATCTACTTTCAGGTAATAGTATAACCAATGATCCAGTTGACATCTTGAAAGTGCTGTTGAATATTATGAAAGATAGGTGGCACTGTCTGCTGACAAAATATTGTGTGTTTTTTTCTAAAATGTTTTATATTTTGGCTTGTATAGTATTTAGCAATAAAATGCAAACATTATTATTAATTATTATTATTTCAAGTAAATAAATGACTCACACGAGAGGTCTTGTTATCTTGTATATTGCACAGTGAAGATGTGATGGCAAAGTGATTGCTGATTCATTGTGATGATAGCAGTACAAAACCAGGAAATCACTGATATCTTCCCATCAGAAATGGAAAACTTTTTTAGCATTTGATTGTTTGGTTTAATGTTTACCGTGTGTCATTTCTGTCATTTGGCAGACTGAACCAAGACGCACGCTCCAAGACAAGGCCATGCCCATGTAGTTATCCTCAGTGTTGAGTGGATTCTGCCAACAACTAGAACCACTTTAATCAGCTTTAACAAGTAAATCAAATAGCACTGTTGCTCCTCCATCACTTTCATCTGTCTCATTCTCTCCCTTTGTCTCTCTTTCTTTGTATCTCTCTCTCAATCGCTCTTCCAATCTGTCTCTTTGAAAATTCTTTCATCTCTCGGTCAAAACGTAAATCTACAAGTCCTCACTTTAACCGTTTTGTGTGTCTGTGTTAGAACAGCTGCCTCACACATGCAGGTAGAAAGATGCAAAGAGCTTAAATCCTTGATTTACCATGTGTCATTTCTGTCATTTGGCAGACTGAACCAAGACGCACGCTCCAAGACAAGGCCATGCCCATGTAGTTATCCTCAGTGTTGAGTGGATTCTGCCAACAACTAGAACCACTTTAATCAGCTTTAACAAGTAAATCAAATCACTTTCATCTGTCTCATTCTCTCCCTTTGTCTCTCTTTCTTTGTATCTTTCTCAATCGCTCTTCCAATCTGTCTCTTTGAAAATTCTTTCATCTCTCGGTCAAAACGTAAATCTACAAGTCCTCACTTTAACCGTTTTGTGTGTCTGTGTTAGAACAGCTGCCTCACACATGCAGGTAGAAAGATGCAAAGAGCTTAAATCCTTGATGTTCCGTTGTTTTATAAAGGGTAAATGTTTCAGTCCAAGAAACAAAACCTACATGCATCTTAACTCATCTGACTACTCGCCTGCAGGCAGACACACTCAAACTGGTGAAGCATTCTGCAGCCAGACGTTCAGGGGGTTGACATTTAATCACAATGCCATCCAAGTCTCCAACTCTGATAAAACCAATAATGGAAAAAGTCATCCAGGAGTAAACTAGTTATTGGTTGTGGGTTGATTTCATGTAGGTGTCCATGTAGGTTCTTCTCTCTCTCTCTTAAACCTACACAGTGTTTCTGTTCTACCTATTTATTTTTCCATGTGTCACGCAGAGTCGCAATAAGGTGTTGTTATGGTGACTGGGCCGCTAGAAGAGGTCGTTGCTAACCTTGCTGCCAGTCTTTTGTATGCTGTGGTCATTTTTCACCTCCCGTCTCTCAGTGAGCTTTGTGGCTGTGAAATAGTAGTCTAATATTAGGTAACCTTCAAATGTCAAGTGACAGATGCGGCCCACTGGGCTTACGGAAACCCAAACACACACCTACGCCTCCACAGATGCACAAACACACATAGTTACACTTAAAACTGTTTGTATTAAAGTCTCTATTTAGTCTATCCTTTGCGTTTCCTGAGGTGCTTCTAGTAAAAGTACTTACTGAGGAAGTTAACAGCAACTCAAGTTATCAGTGTTTTGTCTTATGGTCTGTACGCTGTTTCAGGTATGGTAACTTGATTTGGAAAGTTTCTCTTTGTCTCTGGCATTTTCCACAGAATTCCTTTGTTTTTATTTTTGATTTTGTTTACCTTTTTTGTGAAACTTATTAGATATGTTATGTTATATCAATTATCATCTAACAGAAATAACGTATTGTAAAAAGTAGCTTGTTTTAAACAATCAAATGTTTGTATTCACCTCTTAAAATGCCATTTTGATTTCAACTGTTTGCAAAAATTAAGGTCATTTAATTTAGCAGTAATAAGTGTTTCAATTATTTATGATTTATAATTAACAAATTAAATTACTAAGTCATGGTTTAATAATATATTATTAAATATGAATTATTAAATGAAGAGTTCATTTGCAAAAACAGATAACTCTGTTTTTATACATTTTCAGAAATCATGTTTTTTTTATTGTGCATTCCAAGTAATATCAATCAAACTGCAGTTGGGTTGTTTTGATTAAGTAATAACTCAGCAAAATACAGGTAACTTACAAAATTAAAGTTAACTGAAAGTATGTTTTTTTATATATATATATACCTTAAAAGTTTAACTCCAACAGTCGTTTTTTTTGGCAAAAGCAGATAACTCCACATTTCAGGTTTCAGAGTTAAACAAAAACTCTTTGTAATCTCCTCAGCTGACAATGTAGACACCTGAACTTTGTTGTTGTGTTTACAGGAAATACAGAGAACTTTTCCCTCACCACTGTAACATGCTACTTTAGCAAGGTTCTGTGCAAAATGTTCACTTTTATTTTCCTTTGACGCCCCGAAGAAGATATCACGGGTTCGTCGAAATTAACCATCCTCGATCACTTTTAGTCAGCTTTGACAAAACTCCTCTCAGCTAGCGCATCTTTTAGAAGTGACTAGCAGCCTTTGTCACCTGACCTCGCTTTTTGATCAGATAAAAAATAACTTATTGGGTTTTGTTTACAAACAACAAGGGCGCATGTCGGTGTCTGCGGAAAAACATGAACTCACGATGCCTTACAGTGGACAAAACCGGCTTTTGTGACAAAACGTGTTTAGGGTTCAGAACGTTCTATATGTGGGGAATAATGCACGGCAGTCAGTTCTTTTTTTTTTTTAAACATGGCATTTATCGGTTTTTGCAAATGAACACTTCAAATTTGTTTTTTTCTGTAATTTATGGGAATTATACGTTTATGAATAAAAAACAAACGATTTCATTTAATATTTAGTTTGACCTCCTCAGGTGGTGATGAACATTTTTATTAAGAAAAACTTTAAGAATTTCAGGCCTTATTTTGTGCCCTGTTCCTGCAAGATGCCCTCTATAATCAGAGACACTGTCCACAGAGCCAGACACAGATCATTTTACTATATCTGCCAGGTATTTTATTGAGGGTGAGATATAATACCTGTTAAGTCAGTCTGCATAAATAAGAGACAAACACAAACTTCTTTGTTGCTGATTGTGATAAGATCAGACAGCCAGTAAGGGCGATACAGTTATACAGGCCTAGCGCTATGGCAAAGACGTAAGTAGACAGTGGAAAAGAGAGACAAGATGCAAGAAAAAGAGATGGAGACAGTCCTGGACGTAAGACTGAGCCAGTAGCAGCTTGTATTTTATGATTATTATCTTAGCTGTCCTATTTCCTGATGTAAGACAGTAAAGTTAACGGGACTGAAGGGCAGTACAAGGCAAAGATTTGGTGTCAACTGCTCTGACGGCCAACTTATTATCAGTTATGTTAAACCACTAGCCAGAACAAAGGGGTGATATATTCAAATGTGCACTACACACTGCACAAATAAATGCTAGCAAAGGCTAACAGCAGTTTTAGGGTGCTCAGTGACGCTGTATTCACTGTTAGCTGTTGGTTGAGTTCACCTTTGCATCCAAATCACTTAACTAACCTGTACTATGTAATAATTTATGCTGCATATTTTATAACCTAAAATTATGCCCTTTTTATACCATAAACTAGCAACCTATGTGGGGTCACAAACCCTAAGTTTAGATACTGTTCAGTTTGATTGTTACACAGTTCTACAGATTACATTTTATAATCCATTATATAATATGATGTTTAATTCATAAAATATTGTACTAAAGGGAAACGTATTACCAATGAACACTGTCCTAACCAGGCAAAACACAAGTGTTTTTATCAATTGTCGCATTGTCATGATTAGGACATGGTGTAATAGTACATTTAACATGTTTTGTAAAATGTAATCTGTATTTACTAAACAGTCCTATTCTATAATCTTACAATCTGCAAGTGAGATACATTTATATGTATATAAGTGAGCTATATATTCAGCCAATTTTGAGAAAAGCGACCAATTTGGCTTGTTCATTCTCACACTGTCATTAGTGGGGTTTTAGATATATTTAGTTAAAGAACATACAGTAGGCTGTGAAGAGCTGGCAGGTTAAGTTGCTATTGTGGTAACCTTCACCTAAATCTTGACCTTAATCTTGACTATGTATTTGAAAGCAACATTGCTCTAAGCTGGGAAAGCACGGTATATGATTTCATGAATTGGGACTGTGTTTTAAACCATATTACATGTTACAGTCTATTTACCTATAGGGGCGTTCACACTGAGACTTACAAGTCCATAGAATAACAACACCTCAACAGTTGGGTAGCTTTTAATTCTTTGCAAAGATTTGTGGTGTTTTTGCGGGTGCTGTAGGGCTTTGTTGCGTTTGAATCACTGAGAGAGGATAGGTGTGTAGGTGTACTGTATTTCTTACTTGGATGATACACTGCTCTTCCTGTCAAAGTGGAAAGCCTGGTGTTCTTCAATAATGTTGTGTATTAGTGGTGATGGTGGCAGGCGATATCGGCCCGGGTATGGTGCTACTGATAACCCCATGTTTCCATTCATCTCCCACTGCTTCACAGGGGAACTAGTGCCATTCTTCTTTTTGCGAGGCAGGGTACCATGGATGGAGACTCCCTGGTAGCCGCTGACCGGCATCTCGGCCATGGCAGGCCGTGAGCTCAGCAGATCCATAGAAGATGCGAGCGTGCACTGCCGCCCAATGTGCATGTTCCTAGGCAGACTAGAAAACCTCCCTTCTGCCATCATCCTCAGCTCTGTAAAAGAAAAAAAAAGACAAGATTACATGAATAGTCTACAAACAATACACATTATTTGATATACAGTAAAAACAGTAATATTATGAAATATTATTATTACCATTTAAAATAAATGTTTCCATTTTAATATTTTTTTAAATGTAATTTATTCCCGTGATGACAAAACTGAATTTTCAGCAGCCATTACTTCAGTGTCACATGATCCTTCAGAAATCATTATAATATGCTGAATTAGTGTTCAAGAAACATTTATTATTTATCAATGTTGAAAACCACGTTTTTCAAGATTCTTTGATTAATAAAATAATGTAATAGTCTTAACTGACACTTTTGATCAGTTTAGTGTCCTTGCTAAAACAAATATATCAATTAAAAAAACAAACTTTTGAATAAATGTACTGTATATATATATATATATATATATATATATATATACTGTACTTTTATTACTGGCTGTAGTCTGTGTTATAACTATTATTAACAACACAGATATGATGAAATGTGGGTGTTACTTTTTTCTGACATTTGTTTTAGGTGGTATCAACAGTTAGTGTTTATACGAAACCTCCTGCCATGTGTGCCCTGTGGCACAGGTAAGTTGGAAGGCATCACTGTTTGATAGACCTGTCTCCTGGCAGCAACAGGGAGAAACAAAAAACAGAGACATCTCTCTCAAAGAGAGGGAACTCCGTTCAGTCTGACCACAAGAGGTGCAGATAAGGATCTTCCCTTGTTGTCTCCAAGCACATGTTTACTTCAGCATTCCAACGACACACAGAAACCACTAATTGGTGCAGTGAAAGTGGATTCAGATTTTATGGAATTTTATGGAGCTAGATTTGTAGGCTTCACTCTTTCTGTTGTGTTTTCAAAGGAATAGTTAAAACCGAAAATTAAATTTCTGTCATCATTTACTCATTCATGTCACTCAAATCCAGCATGCTAATATTCAACCATTTTTTCCCCCAAATAACAAAATGCTAACCATTAGCTGAATAGCTCCAAAAAGGACAACAACGTATCATAAAAATAATAAATATAATTTTTGTTCTATATTAAAATTCTTCTAAAAACATACAGTAGCTTTGTGTTTCCTTGTGCAAGGGAAATACATTAAATATGCTTGTACATGTATAAGACAAGGGGAAGAGTATAAGGCTAATCTTTCTCTTTATATCTTTCATATTTATGGGTAAAATATAATCTCTAAACTGAAAGTAAAACAGCACCCCTGGTGTCGATAAGACTGTGACTTCTGTATGTTTATTGAGGGGCTTCAAATCAAGAGAAAACAGTGGGTGTGTGAGTTCACTGACCCAGACGCTGGATGAGTGTGTGTGCATGTTGACCCCATTAAAGAGCGCTATTAGGGTTATATAGGAGCACGCATATGCATACAGCAGAGCTGGTGTTGCCGTCACCCTCTTTTGTCTCTTTTGTGATGGATGAAACTCAATCTTGGAACCTGACAGCGCTTCTGTTTAAGGTCTGGCATGATCTCATTCCCTTCATGAAGAGGGGGGAGCTGATTTCATACTCAGACCCATTCCACACCACCATTTGCCCCCAAATGTTCTTTCTCTGCTACATGTATCTGTGCATTTAGTTCTGGGCCAGCAGTTCATATTGTTTGTGTTTTCCCATAATTTGCAGTGCAGCAGTGCATCCAGGCTCCAAAATGAACACTCGCCGAGCTTCAAATGTGACAGAAATTTGGCTTTGGTGAGTAAATAAAACATCTTGATTTATTTAAATAAAATAAGATGCCCAATATAATGATAGACTCTCCCTCGCTGTTTATTTATCTGATTTAAGCAATTTAAGTGAATCAAATTGTTAGGAATAGATAAAGTGAGGTAATGCTATAATAAAGAGAAGGATCTTGCTTTTAGCATTAAATAAGACTTGAACTTAATATGGCACCATTCCTGACATTAAACAAATGTCAATATTATAAAATCACCCACTGTAATATTTTCATTGTAATATTATCACTTTTGTGAGAGGTTTCACAGATTGTATAGGATTCTGTGAGTTAGAACTGCTCCCATCATAATCAACAAGGCGTAAACACAGGCTGAATTAGATTTATTCTGCAGTGTAGACAGCTTAGTGATATAGTTATATAGTAATCATAGGAAATAGTTCTATCTGGTCTCATGGCATAAATGTACCTGGGGGCACTTTTTAGCGAGACGCGAAATACGTACCAATAAGTACATATCACTGCAATTTCCAAAATAAATGAACACTAGAGGCAATAAAACTCCAACACAGCAAACACAGCAATACGTACCTATATCAACGTAATAAAAACGTACCAGAATTCATGTGTTGAACCCATGTTTTAGTGCCACTCAGTGGACATTTCTCTTTGAAACTGTGGCGAAACGTGCAGTAAAGTACGTAAAAACGGTGTTGCACAAAAAGTACATAGTGGTACATATTTTTATGAGACCAGGTTGATATAGTTATAATAGGAACATTCTAATATTGTCATGTTGCTTATTTATAATTTATTTAAAATTTAAATTATTGTTTTGTTATCTGCTACCAGGGCTAATGTTAAGTTAGGGAGTATCTTGATTTGCTGATGTATAAAACGACAATAAATTATGTTTAGAAACAGAGTTCTTATTTTGATTAGTTATTTTGAATATGCACCCTACACAAAAACTATGGCATAGATGCCACAAATTAAATAAATATTTTAATTTAAATGTAAAATTTGAAATGAATAATTGTCATAAAAACAAGAGAAAATAACTATGATTTGCATAATCATGCAGCACTACTGTGACACAATGACCTGTGTTTGCTACAAATGAGCAAAATATTTTGCAACAGGAACAAAAATATATTTTCCAGGAAGTAATGTGAAATACGGTTTTGTAGCCAGTAAAACTATTCAACAATGGACAGTGTGACAAAGAGTTAATTTTGGTCCCTTGCACAAGCATCTGTGGAGAGTGGAAAGACATGGAAACTCCCTGGTAATGCCATGCTGGGGTGTTTGAACCTGCAAACTAACCACAGTCACCTCCACCTCCACCCAGATCCACTCATCCATGACCACCAATGTCCTGAATCAGCTTATCATGTGACTGTGCTCTTTTAATGCTGTTTTTCAGTTTAATTTTAGATTTAACAAACCCTAAGATAACAGTTGGGCTGGTTGTATAGCTTAGAACCTTTTGTTTTTAAAAAATAAGAACATATATGCACTTAATCAGACTACGCCTGTCATACACCTGTAAATCACTTTTTTTATTTGCATTTATGTAACTCTTTACACAGTCTGGGTGTTCTGGTATATAATGACTAGATTCCACACAGCGGGTTTTTAATGGTTTGATCAGGGCACTTTGCAGTGCTATGAAATCCCGCTATGAATACCTCAGCTGTATATTTATGCACCTGGAGCACCTGTGCGCTGTCCTGGGGCCCTGAAACATGAGATTCCATTCACTGGTGCTGTTTTTCATGTGGTGTGTAATGGCTAGGAGACATTAAAATCAGTGTTACCGAGTTATCATACTGGCTAGTCAGGAATCCCCTGTTGGTTTCAGATAAATTTTTCTCACATGTCTCAGAGTGTGAGGGATAGCCATGCTCATCTGAGAAGGCAGATATGCACTTCCTCTGTCAGAGGAAGTGATGGTTCTGAGTCATAATACTTATATACACCAGTGATTTTAGAAGGGCAACTGTGACCTTTCTAAAAATAAATATAGAAACATAGAGTGGAAAAAGCTGGCATGCTCATATCAGATTTTTTAAAGGATCAGATTTTAAAGGGGGCAGACCCTCCAAGTCCCTGAAGGAGGCCATTTCTAGAGGTATGATTATAAATATTTTCTTCAATGTACATATTTCACAGGTGATTGTGATTTTAAAGGTATAGATCACCGAAAAATGTCAAATTCTTTCAGCATTTTCTCACCATCCATCTCACAAATGTTTTTTGTAAAGGAAATATAAGAAATAAAGTCATATGTGTTTGGAATGGCATCCCTCTAAATCTTTCCTCTCATAAAAAAATGAGGCCTCACTGAGGAACAAATCATCCTCATGTGCACTTAAACAGCCAATGAAATTTATTTCAGTGTAATTGGCCTTAGCTCTGGTTGTTTTTTCTTGAGAAGAGATGTCTCATCATTGACCCCTTCAGTCTTTAAATTAAATCAATGCTTTTTAATTATAACCATTGTTGGATGAGGATGGATGAACTTGAGTCAGGTACAATTACAATCAATGATGAGAAAATCTCCAGTCTTATTGATTTCATCAGTCTATTTCTTTACCTTTTACTTTTAAATAAGAACCATTAATTTTTTTTTTTTATTATTACTTTAATTCAACTACTTTAGCCTAAATCCTTTAACTTTTATTGAAACAGTCCCCATACTATAAACTAAGTATAATTTCTCTGTATGAAATAAATATATATATGTATGGTTGTAGTTTAAAAGATATAGCCGAACAAACACTGTCTTATTTTGTTTAATATAATAATAGCAGCAATGTGTAGCATGGACACTATAATGTAAAATGTCACTGTTATTTGTAACTCTTACATGAACTACTCTGTGTGAAAGGAATCTGAAACATAAGTGATTTCCCTGCTCTCAGCCCAGGTCAAAAGGCCACTGTAGGTTAACATGGTGTCTAAGAGCTCTGCATGGTGTAATTTTCAACATTTCAGCAGGCAGTGAGACAGTGAGACAGCTGTCAGCACTACACAAATGCAGAAACGAGTCCCCTGTGGCTCTGGATTACATATGCTAAACAATTAAACTGTTAAAGGGGTCATATGAGGCTTTTTTAAAGATCATTATTTTGTGTATTTGGTGTAACAGAATATGTTGACATGCTTTAATGTTCAAAAAACACATTATTTTTCAAATACTGTACATTATTGTAAGTCCTCTATGCCCCGCCTCTCTCAAACGCTTTGTTTTTTACAAAGTCCCTCCTTCCGACAAGCGCAGTCTGCT